AGGTATCAACTATCAAGTATCATGCATTGAAAAGCCATCTATTATATCATATGGTTTCATTTTTTGTATCAATTGTTCATGTTTTTCCTTAGAATTTAGAAATAGGTATAGGTGAAAATATTGTTTTGTGTCAAGCAACACACCTGACAAACTAATGTCTAAATACATTGGTCATTTGTCAGTGTGCTAGATATATCTTCTCTAACTAAAATCATAGCCCTGCACCCAAACCTGGTTTCTGCTCTTTGCCTCACAACCTTTGCCCGCCTATCCGCCACCCTGAAGCCCTCTTTGTTGCAAACATGTGCTCAACCGATGGCAGAACCATCTTTTCTAGACCGAAAGAGCTTGCTGAACACGTATAATAAAACCCACTCTACTTGTGTACGCATTGTAAAAAGCATGTGCATCTGCTTCCGATTCAAACTCCTGACCCACATAAGGCTCATCCGCAACTGAATTATTACTCACAGTAGTATCTGCATCTTCTCCTTCTTCATTTCCTTCTTCTATTGAAATTATTACTTCCCTCCCAGGAAGGTCATTGTTAGTTTTAACATCAGGTTGCTCCCAAAATGCTACAATTGAATTTTCAACATCTATAGCAGAGCTTCTCACCATTCAATTCACCACCAATATCGAAATCCACTGTATTTAGACAATTTATTTCAGTTTTTAAACCAGCACACTAAAAAAACAAATCAAAAGGCTCTGTCTTCAAATGGTTTGAAATTATGTAGCATTTTAATGTGGACTGCTATTTTAATTATTTATCTTTGTATGGCCTGATCTGCCTGAATAAAAAAAACCCAACCTAGATCCTTTAATTGCAAACAAAAAAAAAAAACTCCATACATCCTTTGTTGTTGGTGTATCCTTTGTATCATGTCTATTATAACATATTTTAAACTTTCGACTTCCTAGATAACAAAACCAGCATGGAGACAGTGAAAACTTACCAAAAAGAAGTCTATCATTAACCCTAGGATTTCAAAAGGGGTTCACATTAAGTATCTTTAATCAGGTGGTAGTACATTGGAAGTCCTTCAATTTTCTTCAACTATAGGATTAATAGGAAAATCTCTTTCTATGAACCCCTGAACAAAGATAGTTGCAAAGCATAAGCATGCCCACATCTCATATCCTGACAAGAGATATGCGACTATAAAACTAAAACATGTCCACATGCTTTCTAAATCTTAATCTAATCGCTTGTTAATAAAAACAATGAAACATAAACATGCTCCTATGTTTAGTACCCTCTTTTCAAATGTAATTCAGTCTAATCTCACTTGATCTAACTTTTTTAATCCCATTTTCGAAATACTGTTCAATACGTAGTACAACTTTGAGGAAGCTCAATTCAACCTACTCCAATTGTAAAAGTTTGGTAAAATTGAGCTTCAAAGAGATCAATAATATTAGTTAACTAACAACGATATTAGTTAGGTGTATGAGCTTGTAAAAAGCTCCATTTTCTCATTCTGAAAAGATTGCAAAAGCCTTTCCCACAGCAGCCCCCGCAATGAATACATATTAAGGAAGCAAGGAACTGGAATTATTTTGCTAAGGTCAAGGTCTTAAACACTTGTTCTAAAAGGACAATATTATAAAATATACTACTATTATGTACACATTTAGTCAAGATCTGTCAAGTGTGAGAACCCTTGACAGTATGAAATGGGATTCCTCACCATTTCTTAAGCTCTAAATTTAACATACCGTGTATGAATTTTTTTCATGCTAGCAATTACATAGTGAACAAACCAAAAGGAGGGGAAAATGATTTAAAACAGCCTCCAACTGTAAGTAAATGTGAGATAGTTACCTAGAACACTTCACATTTCACATGAACATTTCAGTGAACACATATCGATCAAAATAAAAGAAAGGGATACAAACAAATAAGAAAGGAATATAAACAAAAGGATGTGAAGAAATACATATGAAGGGATACCTAGACATGATAGTACAAGAATATAAACACATGGCAATTAAAATCAAACAAACAATACAGAAGCAAAAAAGCAAGACGATCAAAGGAAAAAAAACTATACTAATTTAGGAATGAATTGGATTTAAATGTTAAGGAGATATATAATTCATTAAAAGAGAAGAAAGAACTTACGAAACGATGCCTAGAATTCCAAAATATGCTCAATAGTAGGTGCAAGATATTTATAGATGATAATCAAGGATGCTTGAGCATCCAAAAAAACATTTCAGAATCATGGCTGCTTGCCGGCTTTTGTTGAACGGAAAAGCAGAAGAGGCCGTTTCAGAATCGCTTACCGAGGTGCCGGCCTTGCTTAAAAGGAAAAAGCAGAAGAGGCGGAGTCGCGCAACGGCGCAGGGAGAGAGGAAAGGAAGGAAATTAATCTAGAACGTTTGAAATGTAAGAGATGTACAAGGAAGAATCAAATAGCCTCACCTTGCTTTAAGCTTTAACGGCAAATTTGACATCGTGACCCCTTACCTTGCGACAACTGCTTTAATGGTTAACCAGTTGTGCATAACGTACAATTGGCCAATGCAATAAGAAGACACAAACATTTTTATGAGGACCTTTACACCCCAACAATATTCATACTTATATAATTGTAGGGATACATTTGTTAAATTGAGCATCAAGAATCATCTACTTTAAAAAACTCTAATTCAAACAATTGAATTACCTACATGGCTACTAAGTACTAACCCACTACCTCAGTAGTTTATCCAGTCATCCAGACCATCACATAAAAGGCTCAACTAATGAAAAGGTTTATCAGATCCTCCCTCAGTGGTTTTTCTAAGACTACTAAGAAATGACAAAATTTATTGAATATGAGGCTATAAGCTCATGGATCTAACCGTAAAGTAGCATTCTAATTAGCACAGTTAACATCATCACTGTACATTTCTTTAACAGTTTAAATCCTTTTTGGCTCTAGGAGGATAACTCTAGTATACACAATAACAAAAGAAATGAGTCAAAAGTAAGGAGTTTTAAGAAACTGGTGAACCTGATTCATCTCAGATATCAGTTGATTCAGTATCTTCAAACCAATGGCATAATGTAATGGTGTCTGAGGACAGCAGAAAAATTAAAACATAAAAAACTACAAACTTATAGACATATTTTTAGTGCATGCAAACAAAAAAAATACAAATATAACAATATAAATGACATAAACGAAAATGTTAGCACGTCAAGCTTCAAATCATAATAAACGTTGAACTATGGTATTCACTAATACCCGGGAGAAAAAAGATGATCACAGGGTGGGGTGGAGGGGTTGCACGTCTCTGAACAAACTGTAGTTAGGAGTTTTGGGGGGAAATAAATAGTAGCCTAGAAAACTTATTTATTATTATTATAGCTTTATACATCTGGTAAACATGACAATATTTACCTGATTTAAGAAGTTTGTTGACTCCTTAACCACATCTCTGAAACTGTCATCTTCAAACCACCCATACTTTGTAACCCAGCAAACAAGTTGAATTAATGATGTAGTTACAAAAGACTCCAAATCAGGTCCCCTTGTGGCCAGGTAGTTTAAAATATAGTTTCCTTCGTAAGGAGTAAACATTAGCAAAACAACACTCAATTAACAACACACCAAAATGTGTGGATACCACAGAACCAATATAAATATATTAATAAAATAAATCAAAGGCCAGAGCTATATAAGCTATATAAGAATACAAGAATGCACTGTAATTATCTATCAAGAAGGAATAATGGTGTATGAGTATCCCTTACAAATGCACTCGACATTCTCCCACCAATTGCCAAAAATTGTTTAACATGGAAATAAAACTATAATAACACTCAATTGATACTTCCTAAATCCCAGCCAACTAACCCCGATAGTATAATCACATGTATATACTCATTAATGCATAATAAGTTTAGAGACTAAAGTTTCAACAAGAAACCTAGCAAATCCATAACAACCACATAAAATAGTCAATAAAGAATCACTGTGTCATACTACCTCCGTCCCATTTTATGTGTCTCCTTTGACTTTGGCATAATTATTAATAAAGTGGTTGAAAAGATAAAAGTTGATGTTGAGATTTGAGTATAATAAAGTGAAATGTTGTAGACCACATATTTCTTTCCAAAAAGAGAAAGATGACACTTATTTTGGGACAACCCAAAAAGGAAAGTAAGACAAATAAAATGGGATGGGGGAGTATTAAATTGTAAATCAAGAAAAAATCAATTTAAGACTCATTAAATATTGATCTAGGTAAAAAAATGGAAAGAAAAGTCTTGAGCGCGAACAAAATTTTTCATTGAGTAATTTTAACAAATATGTTATTGGCATAAAATGAACTATAGTAATTATACTAAAATTCCAATTAATTAATACCTCAAATCCACTATAATAAAACGAATTAATCAATTATTCAATGTCATAACATACCTAATATACATAAAAGCATTAAAAATAAAATAAAAATAAAAAAACGCACATGAAGAAAAATGAGAATATGTATTACCTCATGGTTTGAGAAGAATGATTACCTTAAAGAAAGACACGACGTAGGGTATGACAATTAAATGGGGAGCTCTTAAGACCTTCAAATATAGAGATTGAGAGAGCTCTTAAAATGAAGGGGGATGAGGGTTGAGGCAATAATAAGAGCACAAAGACAAGAGAATGAAAGAGGAAAGTGAAATATACCATTTTTTGTACACATAACATTTTTGTACGAAAATAGGTTCTAAATGCCCAATTTACACGCTCTCGTGCCTTTTTAGCTATGATAATTTCTACACAAATCATTTTTGGTGTATACATAAGTTGTACACATTTGAGTACACCCTCATACCTGTGTGTACACATCTTAGTTGGTCGTGTAGACAAGCAGCAATAGGAGACGAGTGGAGTGTACATACAAAATAGCTTTTTCCTTCCAAAAGTACTCTTGGTACACACTTTTTGGTGTACACGCTTTTATAAAAAGAAGGCTACATAGACCGTGTAAACAAGTCCAACTCTTATCCTTCTTATTACCCGCCATGCGGGTGCCTCAGCTAACAAACATCTGCACCATGTCAGCTGATCGCGCGAGGGCAAGTTAAAGAGAATCAATCCTTTATTTAGCCATTCTCGTTCTTTTGACTCACAACGACCTAAACCCTATTTCACCTATCACACCAGTGGCCTAAATCCACGTGAGACCCTGTTTCTTCTCCATTGCTTTAGATGCTCCTCATAGTTAATTTCCGAATGTTTTTTCACCCGATAAAATCGGAAAACAATCACTCTCATCTCTAGTTTTATTATCGTTTCTATACAATCAACTAAGATTTTTGTTCACGGTCCCGGTTCAGTTACATGAAGCATTCCCAATACTGTACGGCAAGAAATTTCCCTTAATTTTCACATATATCTATTATTTGCTTCACGTCACAGTGAGTTGACTGTGCATCGTATGTAATGTACATATATATTCTGTTCATTGACATCAATTATAATTGAATTTCAGGAAAGTAGGCTGTAATAATCTACTGACACAAACTTACCGCATTTGAGGCTTGCTGATCATCTCCACAGCCCTATCATTGTGTTTTCTGTTATCATTCAGTAGGATTGTTTTGTAAAAATAAGAAAATGATAATCTAGATGCCCCATTTGTGTAATTGGTAACTGATGCTACAATTAATATTCATATCAGAAATTTTGGCTGAAATATATTGACCTGATTTGGATTCTGTCCTCCATCATCACTTCTTTCAATTTGATTGGTCTGCTATATCTAAATGCAGAGTTCTTAGGTTTTATATTTTCATATCCAAAAGACTTTTGACATCTTTACCTTGCATTGCTTGGTTGTGTGAACTCCAAGAAGTTCATTTTGCTGAAAGATGGAGAGCTTGGCACACCTTGAAGCAATGTGCGAGAGGCTTTACAACTCGCAGGATTCTGCTGAACGAGCACACGCGGAGAACACTCTCAAATGCTTCTCAATAAGCAGTAGCTACATCTCACAGTGCCAATACATTTTAGACAATGCATCGTCACCTTATGCACTTATTATGGCTAGTTCAAGCCTGTTGAAGCAAGTGACAGATTGCAACCTATCTGTGCAGCTTCGGTTTGATATTCGTAATGTTCTTATTAACATGCAGTTACTCAAGTTTGAATTTATAAGTCATTGAGATTTTGCTTTTTTCTTCATGTGCAATTGACATCCTCTCCAATCTGCATGGTTCTCTAGAATTTGAGCTATTCACTCTCAAATTGGATGAATCATAAGGGTTCTATACCATCACATGCTCTACATCATGTTGGCGTCAGAGGAAATAAGTTTTTCATTTCATTTAGTGCATGAACTATATTTCCATACTTAGCAAGGGTAATTCACTGAAATTAGACACCTATTGAGTAGTTGGGTGGCTACCGTAGGAAAGTGGGACGGGGGAGATATATTTGAAAGACAACGTGAAACTATTTACTGATTTACAGCACATCTTTGGAAGTACTATGCACTTTTATCCCACACTTTTTTGCTAACTTATATAGCTTATATAGCTCTGGCCTTTGATTTATTTTATTAATATATTTATATTGGTTCTGTGGTATCAACACATTTTGGTGTGTTGTTAATTGAGTGTTGTTTTGCTAATGTTTACTCCTTATGAAGGAAACTATACTATAAACTACCTGGCCACAAGAGGACCTGATTTGGAGTCTTTTGTAACTACATCATTAATTCAACTTGTTTGCCGGGTTACAAAGTATGGGTGGTTTGAAGATGACAGTTTCAGAGATGTGGTTAAGGAGTCAACAAACTTCTTAAATCAGGTAATTGTTGTCATGTTTACCAGATGTATAAAGCTATAATAATAATAAATTAGTTTTCTGGGCTACTATTTATTTCCCCCCAAAACTCCTAACTACAGTTTGTTCAGAGACGTGCAACCCCCCACCCCACCCTGTGATCATCTTTTTTCTCCCGGGTATTAGTGAATACCATAGTTCAACGTTTATTATGATTTGAAGCTTGCCGTGCTAACATTTTTGTTTATGTCATTTATATTGCTATAATTGTAATTTTTTGTTTGCATGCACTAAAAATATGTCTATAAATTTGTAGTTTTTTTATGTTTTCATTTTTCTGCTGTCCTCAGACACCATTACATTATGCCATTGGTTTGAAGATACTGAATCAACTGATATCTGAGATGAATCAGGTTCACCAGTTTCTTAAAACTCCTTACTTTTGACTCCTTTCTTTTGTTATTGTGTATACTAGAGCGATCCTCCTAGAGCCAAAGAGGATTTAAACTGTTAAAGAAATGAACACTGATGATGTCAACTGTGCTAATTAGAATGCTACTTTACGGTTAGATCCATGAGCTTATAGCCTCATATTCAATAAATATTGTTATTTCTTAGCAGTCTTAGAAAACCACTGAGGGAGGATCTGATAAACCTTTTCATTAGTTGAGCCTTTTATGTGATGGTCTGGATGACTGGATCAACTACTGAGGTAGTGGGTTAGTACTTAGTAGCTATGTAGGTAATTCAAATATTTGAGTTAGAGTTTTTTTAAGTAGATGATTCCCGATGCTTAATTTAACAAATGTATTTTCTTATAAAGAACAATTATGTGCCTGTAGACGAGAGAATAAATTGTAACATTGGTGGTTTAGCTGACTGAAACTATTCAATAAATAATGGCAGCTTGCACATTGGCTGTATTGTGATGTTTGAACACCATCCGCTCAAATATAAATATCTAGGTTTTTTTTGTAATGGTAAAAACTCTCTAGTTTTTGAAGAAATGGAAAACAAAAAATGGGAAAAGCCCCCCCACCCCCACCCACAAAATTGGATAAAATGATAACCATTTCTTAGGTGAGACATGAGAATACATCTTTTTTACTTTCACCCATCATGACACTCCTACTTATACGCATCACTATCAACTTATTTACCTTCAGCATCTATCTGCACTCCATTACCAAGTAACTGTGCGTCACTATAACTGCATCTGTTACTAACTTCACTTGTTTTGTCTACTACTATTTGCTTACCCAGATAAATAACTATTTGTCCCCATTACTTGCATAGTTGCATCACTATTAAACACTATTTGTCCCTCACCCTATTTTAAAAACAATCAAAACCCAAACAATTCAAATTTCATGAACTAACAAACAGTCAAAATTTTAATATATTTTCTTGTTCTTCAGGGGAAGCTGTGTTATTGGCTTTTACTTTTCGCTTAAGGCAATATATATCCAACACAAGAGGATATTGATACAAAGCAATACATACCAAAAATATATCTTGAACTAGAAAGCAATACATACCAAAAATATATCTTGATAGAAAGCAATACATACCAAAAAATATATATTGAACTAGAAATTGTATTGTATTTCTTTCTAACTTATCGGGAAATTTATGATTGAGAAATAACATTCAAATAGAAGGGGAAATTCCATAGTAGTCAATGGCGAGATATGGCGCGCGCCATATGCGTCATCGCCATGAAAAAGTGGTCGTCACCATACCACCTTGTGTTCCATATGCGCCATTCGTATATGCGCCATCACCATGCGCCACGAAAAATGCCTTTGAGACATGGCAATCGCCATGACAACAATGCCGAAATTCTATAGGATAGCTATGACCTTAGTTATGTTGTATGGCTTGGAGTTGTACAATGTTGCAGCGTATTATCAACATGCACACAAAAGGGTTTCAGCAGATATAAGAATGTTGAGATCAAGGTTTGAAATTGCATATTGCGTACGCCTCATTGCGCAATGAGGGAACACATGTGTGGTGCGTGCGTGTGTAAAGTGTAAACACAATAAAAAATAAAATAACCGAATCATCAAAAGTCATCAAATGACATCTTATACATTATAATGAGGCCATAATGCTAGCAAAGTGATATGTTCAAACCACAGAATAACAAAAATTTCTGAACTATACATCAAAACACAATTCCTAACACACGAAGGGCCTGTTTGGTGACTCTGTCTTTCAGCTTATCAGGCTTATCAACCAACTTTTTAACCAAACACGTAGATGATCATTTTAAATAATAAGAAAAAGTAAGGTTGGAGTTACTTCTCTGGCCGTATTGACTGAAGTTACTGTAGATGATCATTTTAGCTATTTTTTCATATAATTTTTTCTTTATTTAATTAATAAAATATATTTTAAATATAATTTTATCATAAATCAGCATAATTAACCGATTTCAGTGTTACCAAACGGGCTCGAAAATTTAAAGTTATTAGATTGATGACTGAAAAATTGAATCATCACTATCTAATGGTTCGAAATAGGGATCACAACCACATAACATATTAATTATGAAATTAAAAAGAGGACTGGGTGGGCCCAAATAATACCATTACACTCTGACCTCCTATTGCATATGCCTCCCAATGCCTGATTGCGTACACCTCCCAATGCCTTATTGCGTATGCAATATTGCATAAGCCTTACTGCAATATTGCTTATGCTACACTCCCAACGCCACATGCAATTCCTTTTACGCAATAGTCCAGGAATTAGCTGAGGCGCACCACTAGGTGCAAATGCATTGCGCAATATGAAGGACAAAACTATGAAAGAAGTGAGGAGAGTAACTATTGGGGTAAGGATAAGATGAGAGAGAGTTGTTGGAGATGGTTCATTATGTTTGGAGATGCAATAGTTAGAACTTAGAAGGCATTAATGTTCAGGGAGGCAACATAAGAATGATGTGGAATTACACATAATCTCATTTGTATGAAGCTTGGGTAGAGACAATTAGACATAATGCCATGTGTGAAGCTTGAATAGGATATGACTCTCGACAATAACAAACATTGTTGTTTGATCCATAGAATGGACCCATTTAGGGTTGATTTTGTTTTAGAATGCCTACTCCTTATTGTCTCTACTATCTTGGTTACCTGCTAAATGGAGCTGCTGAAATTTGCTGACTAGTTACTACATATAACATCAATAGATGAGTAATGCAGAACCGGGCTCAATAAATATCGGTGTGTTTAAGAAGGAGGTTTGACAAATATTCCATATCTTTTGATATCAAGTTGTCCATTCTCATATTCTCATATAATTTGCCTCTACAAAGTTATGTAGTACAAACAGGCATGGTTTGAAAAGGCGTAAACGAGCCTCGAGGTGTAACCCCAAAGGCATATCAAGGTGTAAGCCTCACGTGCTACATGACTATTATAAATATAGAAGCCCTAAATGATATATGCGACTGCCTAGGGCATCACAACAAATGTAATAGCATAAGAATTCATAAAAACAACTTAATGTTCTATAATACATAAAATAGCTTAGTGTTAAGAATTTTTTGTCTTTACTCCATGACTCCAAACAGGAATTCTCCTTTGGGTTCTTTGTTCCCACCATGGGTCCCGGCTTCTTTACTTTTCCCTGTTTTGTGGAACCATCGAAAATAGAGATGAAGCTCCGGATAAGAAACGTTTGTAGAGGTGTTGGCGTGTTGTGCAGGCACATTAGGTTTCATGACTTTACATCTTATAAACTACAATTTTTAATTTATTAGGGCGTACTCTTATGGCACAAGTATATGCTAATGTCTAGAGCAAATAATCTATTTTTATAACTTCAAGCAGCCCAAAAAGCTTTCTTGTTTGGCTAGGATATTTGAAATAAAGACAGCACATATCTGGAAACACAAGGCATGTGCCTGATCCGCCTCATGAACGGCTGCCTCATAAGTCATGTCTCAAGCTGGTAAGGCATACACTTCTTGCCATCACAGAAAGGCTTAATCCTTAGGGCAACATTTCTCTGTTCCGCACTGAGGTACGCGTAGACACCTTTTAAACCATGCGAACAGTACATAACTATATTGAGAACACAAGCAAGGCACATTGGTATCCAAGATTTACATGGATATTCAAATAGAATCTCAAACATCTTAAAGGGCTACACCCCAATATCTAAGCCCCCCCCCCCCCCCGAACTGGTCAGACATCTTAGTTTGTGTGGAGTGCGGACGTGCGGTTTCATTGAACTGTCATCACAACCTGGTCGATAAAGTGTGTGGTTTGCACATGGTACTTATAAGGGGTCCATGGTTAGCAAGGTTGCCTCCATAATCTCAAGGTGAATTCTATGGTACCCATAAGGTACCATACCTTTGTCCACATGGACCAATGAGAATGTAGTAGTTGAATTATTTAAATCTAAATTAAAAATCATAAAGTGATGTGGTCCAATCAAATGAGTGGTAGGTACGGTACCCCATTTTTTAGAAGGGTACCGGAGTTGTCACCTAATCTCAAATATCTTTATGTGAAGTTGAACAATTTTAGACTATTTTGTTTTATATTCATATTGTCCCATTTTTAAGAGACCCCTTTTCTTTTAGTCTATCTCAAAACAATGATCATATTGTTAATATATAAATCACCAACTTTTTGCTTTTTCCAGCTTATCATTTCATCATCCTTTCGACTTTTTATGCAGTGCCCCCAGTGTAGTCAAAAGTGAGTGCCTGGGCGCATAAGCGCACCAAGCTAGGTGCATATGAGGGTCAGCGTTTGTTAGTGTCCCAGGCGTAGCCACCTGAGTGAGGCTCAATAAGCTCAGAAGCGTTAGAGTGTTGAAAAACGCATGCTTAAGTCGCCTGGGTGGGAAAGGCTTATCAGCCTATTTTTCGGTGTGATCCAACTTTAAATAATAAGCCCATATTTATAATAAGATTTAGCCCATCCAAATATTAGGTCAAAACAACTTAAACCCATGTTAAACCCTTCTAACTTCTAAGTGGCGGTAAAAGTTTTCTATCATGACTTCATCGTTGCTCTCCTATGCTCTAGTGCTCTACTTGCACAACATGCTCATCGCTGAAATCGCAGTCAACAATTAATCCACAGAAGCCAGAAACCCATAAGGTGTCTTCTTCTTTATCATCTTCCTGTGTTCTTTCTTTCTTTTTCAGCTTGTAGTCTTCATTTATTTTTTCATCTTCTTGTTGATCCTTTCATTTTATTCTTTCAGTCTATCTTCTTTCTTTACTTTATCACTTCCAGTCATCTATGCATACTTTATACTTTATACAGTACATTATATGTACAATATTTTTTTTCCATCCTATCATACAGTCTATAACTCTATTTCTTCTTATTATCATTTCATATTTTCATGTTTAAAAGCTTCATATAAATCTACTTCATTTAATAGTTTCATACACTATAATTTGTGCTACCCCTAGTTCTCAAACTGCAAAATCAGCAAAAACAGACCTCACTTGGTGCTTTGTTTTAGCGAACCATGACTTTATTTTGGTGAATTTTGACTCTGTTTTTGAGAAACATGACTTTTTAATGCATTTAGTTCAATATGATGTTGACTGTCATATTTGATCACTCTAGAATAGTATACATAATATTTTCTAAATAGTGTGCTTGACATGACTACATGAGTAACACAAGCGATTTTTTTGCGCCTTGCTCCTCAAGCGATATGAGTACTCTAGCGCCTTGAGTGCACTCCATTTTTCTTTTCTCCTCCCTTCAAAAAGGTCAATTTGTAAACTCCTAAGATCATCTTTTTATTTTCTATAGGTGTGTCAAACTCAAATGCTTCTTGCATTTTGGGCCAAAGGGTGTCTTTTATCTTTTTTTGGTAGATGTCAAATTCTCTTAAAATATTACATGTTTCCGTTGGATCACAATCTTACCCATTAAAAGGTTCTGCCCTGTGCTTGTAACAGAGCTATACTTCGTGTTTTCACAATTATGCTAATTATATAGGTCTCATGTAAGTGTGTAACTGTTCTCTTTCTTGATTATGAGTGTTTCATATGGTCATACCGTCGGTCATAGATCTATTGTGTTGTCTACTGATGCATTGCTATATATATTTCTGTAAATGGATCAGCCAAGTTCTGGGTTGCCACCAGCACAACATCGTAGGGTGGCTTGCTCCTTTAGAGATGAATTGCTTCTTCAAATATTTCAAATATCCCTTACTTCGTTGTCACAGCTGAAGAATGATGGTACATTGTCAATTCCTTCAGAAACGCTTTGACGAGTTCTGTTTAGTATTTCTTTTTGTACATTGTCATTAAAAAAATACTAGCATGAGTTGCTAACTATGCAGCTGGCAGCAAGTTACAAGGACTGGCCATTGCGCTATCGCTAAAGTGTTTATCTTATGATTTCATGGGGATAACGGTTGATGAAACCTCAGAAGATCTTAGCAACATTCAGGTGCTACTAAGCATCCTCTATTCTTGTAACAGCTCCTCAATGTGCATTTAAAGTTGTTAGCTGATATCCTCAGCCCCTCATTAAATATATTCAGATACCAGCCGCGTGGAAACAAGTCATTGAAGATCCATCAACTGTAAAAATATTCTTCGAGTACTATGAAATTAATGAATCTAACTTCTCAAAGGAGGTAAGAACATTGATATTTTTGCTTTCCTTGCAAGTGATTTTTCACTCAAGATGGTGTTTGTTATAGAAAGGTGGGTTTGGGGTTTCCCCTGTTCCTCTGTTTTATTCCTAAAATTCCTCCTTGTGTCCCACTTTACTGGTCATAATTTCTTTTTTGCCCATCACAAAAGTGCAAAAAAGAACTTCCTACTTTTTACACTTACCCTTTCTTTGTCTTTCTTTTAGGAGATACTTCTAAATTACTAATTACTAATTTGATACATTTGGCCTCGCTGCAAGACTTCAACTCTTCATTAAAAACTGTGCTAAAAGCAAAGTAGTATTAGCTTTTCGGAATTGGGAAATAAGAAGTATCAATAACAACATCTAGCCTTAACTTAAAAAGTTTGGGGTTGGCTAACATGAATTGGCACATGAAATTGGAGCAAAAAAGATAAGAAAGATAAAAACATAAGGTAAGATAAAAAGATAAGGAAAAGATAATATAAAGATAAAAAATAAGGTAAAAATGATAAAAAATATAAGATAGAGAGAATAAAGAACATACAATGAGATGAAGAAGATAAAAAGATAAAAGGATAAAGAACATACAATGAGGACAATATACTCCATCCATTTCTCCCTCTCCAAAGTCATACTCTCATCCAACAAAAAAAGAAGCATATTACTCCCAAGTTCTCTAATTCACGTATGTTTGGGTCTTTCTCTTCCTCTGCTCCTCGCCTCTCATCTCGTCTAATAGATGCATCACCCGGTCTTCTATGTAAATAACCAAACCACCACAATCAAGTCTCTCACATTTTATCTTCAATATGTGCTACTCCCACATTTTGTGTGATTGTCTTATTTCTCAAACGGTTCTTTTTAGTATGTCCAAACATCCAGCGCAACATGTGCATCTTAGCCATGCTCATCTTTTGAATGTGACATTGTTTCACCGCCCAACACTCTTCGCCATACAATAATGCGGACTTAATTGTTGTCCGATAAAACTTACCTTTTAGTCTAGTCGGCATATTCGGTCACATAGAAATCCAGACACATTCTTCCATTTCATCCACTTTGTTATGATTCTATGGGTCTCCATCTAGTTCACCGTCCTTATGAATTATGGAGCCGAAGTAACAGAACATATCATTGACCGTTATCTCTTTGCCATCTAGGCCAATCCCACCACTATGACTGCTTGTACCTCCACCAAACTTGCAATCTATATACTTAATCTTGCTTCGACTCAGCCTGAAATCCTTGTTCTAAAAAAATTGTTGTCATATTTCCAACATTGCTTTAATACCCGATTGTGTCTCAATCAAAACAATATTGTCCGCAAACATCACGCACCACAATATATCTTCTTCACTTCGTGAGATCATCCATGACTATAACAAATAATAAAGGGCTCAAGATTGATCCTTGGTGCACTCCGTAGTAATGAGGAACTCTACAGTCCTCCCTACAGTAGTACAAACACTTGTAATACAATCCTCATACACATCCATGATGATGTTGATATACTTACGTGATATGCCTTTTCTAGTTAAGACCCACCAAAGGACTTTTCATGGTACCCTATCATATGCCTTTTATAAGTCAATCAAGGCCAAATGCAGATCCTTGTTAGTATGCTTATACTTCTCCACAAGTTGGCCAAGAAGGTGAATGTCCTCCGTTGTTGAGTGGCCAAACATAAAACAGAATTTATTCTTTCAAATCTCCATACTTCTTCAGAGGCTATGCTGAATCACTTACCTCCAAAGTTCATGGTGTGACTCATAAGCTTAATTCCTTGATAGTTGGCACAAGTGTGTACATCAGCCTTATTCTTAAATAGGGGAACACGAGTACTTTTCTAACTCACTGATATTTTGTTGTTTCTTCAAACCTTGTTCAAAAACGTGTTAACCACTCGATGCTCTCTCTCCCAAACTTCTCTAGGCCTCAATCGATATGCCATTTGGACCCACTGCTTTCTTCCATCCCATCATTTTCAAAGCCTATTTAATTTTTGTCGGTTGGATCCTTCTCATAAAATCCCGATTTACTATACGATCTGATATAGTAAGATCATCAATATCTTGTGCTTCATTCCCGTTGAATAAGGTATCAAAGTGTGACCCCATCTCCCTTTATTTCCTTGTCCTCCATTAGTACCTTTGATCGACATCCTTCACACACTTAACTATTCCGATAACTTGAGTTCTATATTCATGAAGATGAGCAAGTTTATAAACATATTTTCCCTCCTGCCTTAGACTCCATTTTTGCATACAACTCCTTGTTCGCTTTTCCTTGTTCTGCCTTCACGGTTTTCTGAGCTTTTCTTGTAGCCTTCTTGTACTCTTCTATGTTCTCATCGTTCCAACGTTTTCCCAACTTTTGTAGCATAGGATAGAAGAAGTATATGTTTAAAATTTTGCAGTTCCTGTCCTGTGTGACATATGTGATTGGGTAGATAAACTATTGTTAAATTTTTAATTGTTAAAACCCAAGGGGCTTTAGTGATTTTTTCTTTTTCTTTCTAAATTAATATATAAACTACATTTCTAGATGCTGTACTGATTAGACTTATACAAATCCAAGTCCAATTTTTGTCAATCCACTATCACTGTCACTGCTGCCAACATCACATAAAACCACTCCCGCTCCATCACCACCACCTCTATGACTCTATCACCATCACTACAACTACCCAATCACCACCACCGGAATGACGGTACCTCACAACCACCACTTCGTGAGTTGTGTCGACCTTCCACCATCATCAACTGTAAATATCACACTGTTGCTGATGCCACCACAATTATTTGATTATGATAGATTTATCTACTTATCATCATCGTATACATTATTTTATAGAGCATAAATTTGTAACATTGATTAGTTCATATGTTGGGAATAAACCTAACAGAAAAGTACAACTTTCTAATCTATTTGAAGCATCAGAAATAGAAAATAAATTATTAATTTTTTTTTTCTATTAACATTTTGCGTTTCCTCAAACAACGACCAACCTTAAGGGCTTGTTGGCTACCACAGTTAGTTTTCAGTTTTGGTTAACGGTTTTAGAACATATGTGGTATAGGTTTTAATAATGAACTAAAGAGTAGTTGTACTTGTACTAATCATGGTAACATTGAAAACTGAAAACCATATTTTCATACTAAAAAACAGTAAGCAGAAATCTATTGCGATTGTGCGAAGAGACCCTAAGTCTTTGAAGTCAGTAATAGCTAAATTTAGATGCTAACCACCTTAAACCTCACCATGAAGGTTTTGGAGTGTTTGGTCCGCCTTACTTCTATTAGAAGATCCCTCTTCACACATGATGCTGCTAGGATGAAGTACTTGTCACTCTTGATGACAGGAACTAGAGATATTCTGCAAACAGGCAGAGGTATATGGTTTTTTGCACGCCTCGAGATGCATTTTGGATTTGTAATTGCTATCATTCAATTTTGTTCTTTCAGGCGTGCCAATTTTGTTAATGAAAGCCATTAGACCATTGCTTTTCATTATCGATATTAGTTTTCTCTCTCTAAAGATAGGTCAACTACAAAGTCAAGGCTTGCATGAAAAATGTTTGTTATTTGGGATAGAACAGGCAAAGGTATATGTTTTTTGTACATTTCACCATGCATTTGGGATTTTGGGTATTTGCAACCGTACAATTTTCTTCTCTTGAGAGTGCCAATTTGTTAGTGCAAGCCATCAGAGCATTGCTATTCGCTATCGATAAGTTTTTTCTTGAAGGATAGGTCAATTACAACCTCAAGGCTTGTATGAAAACTGTTAGCTATCCCAGGACATGATGGATTAGAAGTTATCAATTGGAGACTCAGCAAGTTAACACTGTTAGTAAAATTTATAACAAATCTTACTTGGCTAGTTGGTTGCCAGCCTGCCACATCCAATAAACATATATTTTAAAAAACAGCAGCTAAATGAGAAATTTGTAGTGGTCTCGTTGAAGTAAAACTAACAAGATTTTTTTCCACTTATAACATTAATTGTTGATGCATAGTGCTATGCAATTGCCGTTTCTAAATGGGAAATTCTAGAACACCTATTTCAGGTAGTGTTCTAAAAGGTGGTAGGTGGGTGGCTCACATGGGTTTAGCGCCTAGGGGCCTAGAAGAAGAGTACTTGGTGGGTTATTGGGCTTAGGAAGGGTCTAGAGAACATAGATTTTTTGTATATAATTTTTGTAGACTTTATAGCTTGCATTATTTTTAGTATTGTTTTAACATGTTTATATGCTTTATATTATGTTTGAATTGCTGAATCAAGAGGTGCTTTCATATCGCAACACCCAACTTTTTTACAAATTTTTGTAGTTGTGTCTCTAAGAAATAGTCTCTCATCAACTCAGAAAATTATGCGACACTACAAAGGCAACAGCTAGGCAGATATTCTACCAAAGTCTCCTAGAGGTCTTAGAGTAAAATTCGTGTGGAACAAGTTGTGTTAAATGATTATATATTTATATGGTCTAGCTTGAGGGGTAGTTTTGGATGTGTATTTAAGTGTATTGTGTAAACCTAGAATGGGCTTGGCCAATCTCACGTCTAATATTGTATACACATAAGGGCATAAGGCTCTCCTGCATACGTTTCAACACACAACGCATTTAGTAATTTTTATGATGCTTATTGAAGCCTCTTAGCAGGTTTTAACACACAACACATTGGAATGTTGTGATGCTTATTATTAAATTTTCATCACATTTTTAACAGGGCTCACACACCATGATAATTACCACGAGTTTTGTCGTCTTCTTGGACGTTTTAAAGTAAACTACCAGGTATTCCACTTCCTTTCTGATCCATACACTGTATAAACAATGTGTTCTTATTTCTTTTATTTGTAATAGTTAAGGTTGCAGAAATCACTATGTGGTCATATGGTGCCAAACCAGCACCTAGTCCGACTAGTCAGTGCCTATTCCGTTGCCATACCCTTACAATACGTTGATACTTCTAAAAAACACCCCTCCATCCCATTAGATTTGGGACAAGGGCATATAATTTAAGGAAAAATGGAATTGTGTGGTTAGTATTGATTTTGTTAGTAATTATGATTGTGAGCCACGAAATAGTTAAAGGATTCCTTTGTTAATTTTAGATCTGTTATGATATTATATAAACTCAATCATGTGAGACCTAGTATATATGGCTAAAGTTTCCCCGTCATTTTGGATTTTTAGAGAATTTTAGGATTCTCAGCTCCCACTTTGTTTCCTTATTCAGTACAAATGCCCCTGTTGTTCTAGTTGTAGATTTTTGTAGCTTTTGTCTGAATGGCAGGTGGTAGCTCTTTGCTACTCACCAATCGTGCTTTATGGGCATTTTCTTTTACTGTCTTTATTTCGCGAGATCTATAAGCCTATAAGGTATCTTGAATGGTTGATATATGTGAAACTTCTCCATTGCCTTGTTAGAATAGAAAACTGGAACCAAAATTTGGTATGCTGCAGTATTACTTCATGTCAATCAGCTCTAAATAGTTGTATTTACCAATATGGTCAAAATTACTTCTGCAGTGTATATGCTCTATTTGGCCGATAAACTGTTTTTCTTAACTGACAAGTGCGAACTAAAATGTTCAATAGCTAAAAAGTTCAATTTTTAAGCTTCTTCATTATGCAGAAATGAGGTCATGCTGCTTTCATCTGGTCACGATATCATATCTAAACAAGAAAACGTATAGGGAGGGGTTCATACATTTGATTTGATAATGAGAACTCATGCATGAAATTGACCTACTGACCTGTCAAGGTTTAAGGGGTTCATATATTTGATAATGAGAACTCAAGGATGAATATTGAATAGAAAGTTGGCAGCCTTTCATGTTCTATACTATGCCTGGGCATATGCTTGCGATTAATGTGGTTTTCTAATTTTATTACAGATCCAAGAGCTTGTACATGCTGAATGCTATGGTGATTGGATACGTCTAGTGGCCGAATTTACTATGAAATCTATACAGTCATGGCAGGTTGGCCATTTTTATATTGGTCTTTGATAATTTTTGGATATCATCTTGTAATATTTCTGACTTTGTATATAAATCTTTGCTGCAACATATGCTGAAAAATCGCTATTCTGATCAGTGGGCCAGTCGCAGTGTTTACTACCTCCTAGGGCTCTGGTCTAGATTGGTGTCATCTCTACCATATTTGAAGGGAGACACTCCAAGCTTACTTAATGAGTTTGTACCCGAGATTGCGAAGTGTTATATCACATCAAGATTCGATTCTTTTCAGGTTAGGTGCTTTTGATTTTCACCAGGCGATATGACTTTATCCTATTAACATCTTTTTCCTTATAATATATTGCTTGGTTGATTCAGGCTGGACTTCCTGATCCCTCAGAGAATCCCCTTGATAATGTGGAACTTTTACAGGATCAGCTTGAGTGTCTTCCTTACCTTTGTAGATTTCAGGTCATTTTAAGATTCAAACAGAGAATACTAGTAAAATTTCGAGCTAGATTCGGTCTGCTTAACTCTGATGAAGATAATTTTGTGAAACTTGGGTTTTTGAGTGCAGTATGAGAGCTGTAGCTTATATATTACACAGATTACAGATCCACTTCTACAGTTGTATATGGTAGATACATACTACCAGTCAATTTTCTAGATGCTTCTTAAAGCCTTCATGTCTGTTTCAGCATTTTTGTTTTTATTTAAAACAGGAAGCAAGTGAACTCCAAGTCATTTCTGCGGTCGAAACTAAACTGGCTTGGATAGTGCATATAGTTGCAGCTATTGTTAAGACAAAGCAACTTAGTAGTTACAGGCATGTATTTTCTTGTAACTGTGGGATATTTCAAGCACAGTTTGTTTCGTATCTATTTGCTCATCTCACTGTTGTTTCTTTCCAACTCTTCTTTTCTAAATTAGTGGGGAATCACACGAAATTCATGATGCTGAGCTTTCAGCACGTGTTCTTCGGCTGATAAACATTGCCGATAGTGGATTACACACTCAGGTGCAGTCATTTCCGCTAACATTGCGTCCTTCTGGAGACAAGTACATTAAAGATGTCTTTGGCATGATCTTTTGCTCTGGCAGCAACATAGTGTTTAAGTTTTATAAATGACTACCTCACATCTTCCTATAATTAAAAGCTAATCTGGATAGAGCATGATGTGAGTGCTCTTTGTGATCAATGTTAATTTCATGCTATCTTTTCTGTATTTGCAACTGTCAGAGATATACTGAACCAAGCAAACAGCGGCTTGACAAGTCTATTCTCATCTTCTTTCAAAACTTTAAAAGTTCATATGTTGGAGATCAAGCAATTCATTCATCAAAGGTCAGTCTATTTCAAAATTTTGAGAGCAACCCTAGATCCTGGATGCTTGTGTAATGCTGAGCTCCTTGTTGCTGTTTGTTTATTCAGACTTTTTCTCTTGCAGCAGTTATATGCTAAATTGTCTGAACTTCTTGGGCTTCATGATCATATGCTGATCTTGAATTTCATTGTGGGAAAGATTGCGACCAATCTTAAATGCTACTTTGAGGTGATTGTTATAGTAGAAATGTTGCCTAACTTTCTCATTTCTCATAGACATTCATTAGTCAATCTTGTCTTCTAGGGTGATGAAGTTGTTGACCAGAGTTTAAATCTCATGCTGGAAATGGCTTCTGGGTCAGTGTCTTTCCAATCTATCCTCTCAAAGTGCCTTTGGTATCTACCTACTAATAGCTTGTAAAATAATTTTGGGAATTCGAATGGTATGCTTTCATTATGACTGTTGTTAATATTCAATATCATGCAGATATATGACTGCAAAGCTTCTTTTGAAGTTGGATACTACTCAGTTAATCATCTCTAACCGTAATGTCAGTACACCGATATATCCACATTACATAACTCTGCTGTAGAATGTGTTTCATTGACATATGCTGCTTAGATCGTGTTTTTTTTTGTGTATTCAGAGGGAACAGTTCCCCTTTTTAAGGGATCACAGGGGTTCTCGCTGCAGAACAACCTTTTATTACATTTTAGGTTTGTTGATCTTCATGGAAGATAGCCTTATGAAATTTAAAGCATCAATGGATCCACTTCTACAGGTGTGGGAGGACAAGTTTACCTTCTTTCTTACATTTAATAGCATCTGTTGAATATAGTTAATATTCAGATCACCTTAGCATGTAATTAGTACACATACTGCCGCCTAGCTACTCTACAATTTACATTTGCAAAAACCAGCCTCCAAACATCTTTAGCTATCTCTATTTGATGCTTTGAACATGTATTTGAGGTCATGTAAAACTCAAATTTTCTAAGAAATGCAATTTGTTTTCCGCTGATTATTCAACAGACTCAAAATACCATGAAGGCATGGAAGGATTTATTATGTTGTACTTAAAGTGTTGCTTTACTTACCAGTTCACAAACCTATAATGATGATTTATTATTGATTTTCATTTTGTACGTAATTCATATGTTATCCCAATATATTCTTAATGTTGAAATTCTGATAAATATATGTTTCAAACTTTATCTTGCTTTGTCTGAGTGACAATGACTAACTGAAGGTTTTCCTGAGTTTGGAATCAATACCCGATTCATTATTCCGCTCTGATGATGTGAAACAAGCTTTAATTGGACTGATGAGAGATCTTAGAGGAATTGCAATGGCTACTAGTAGGTTAGTTTTACTGTAATGTCGTTTGTGCTTGGATTACTAGTAGGTTGTTAGTTATAAATGGTTCTGTTTTAGTATATACTTTTAAGTTTCTTTACTGAATATATACAGTCGAAGGACCTATGCTTTCCTATTTGATTGGCTATATCCAGCACATATGCCCCTTATCTTGAAAGCCATCACTGTATGGGCTGATGCTCCCGAGGTCAGATCAATTTGTGATTTTATCTCTGTTTTCTGAAATTCTACTTCAATTTTCAATGGAAGTTTTCTTAAAATGAGTGTTTGACATAATTCTCATAGAGGCTTAGAAAATCTTATCTCTTCCAACTTAGGAGATTTTGGAGTATAGTGGTTCCACACTTCCATTGCAATGATGTGTGATCACATTCAATTATAACACAGGTCACAACACCAATACTCAAATTTGTTGCTGAGTTTGTTCTGAACAAGTCCCAACGCCTATGTTTTGAAACATCATCTGCCAATGGAATACTACTTTTCAGGGAAGTTAGCAAATTGATTGTTGTGTATGGGTCGAGATTGCTTTCTCTTCCCAGTCAGGTGGATGTGTATCAGTTCAAGTACAAGGGGATATGGATTTCCCTTACTATTCTTGTAAGAGGTAGGATCAGTCCTGACTTTTGAGAACTTAAAACTATTTCTTTTGCAAGAAGACCTTACAAACTATTGGGAACTGCTGAAAAACTGTAAACTTCATATTTGCAGATAATAAGGATATACTTATCTGTGCTGTTAACACTTATAAGTTTATGGTGAAAAGCTAAGAGCCATGCATTATTGTTTGTGGCTTTGTGCTTTCATATCCATTACTTGGCACCGTTTATATACTCTCAAATGAAGTATTGGCAATTATATGTCGAAGTAGCCTCCCGTGTGCTACCTTTGGCTTCTTCTGAGCAGTTCCCTGCTACCCTAATCCCTATTCCCTAGTAAAGCTTTACATGATTGCACATCTATTTATCTTGGCAATATATAACCGTTTTACTCACAGTTGTAATTTGCAAAAAATGGTAAATCAATTTTTGGTCATGTTCTATGATGTGCATGTTGATAACAATACAAATATTGTAAGGAAACAACTACAACAATTATCTCAACTCATTGTTGTCTCATGACATTTTCTATTCAAGTGGGGAATGATATCGTTTTTGGAATTTCATATCATTTTCCTTCTGTAGAAGGCTGCAGCAATTAACTACCACAGAGATGATTGTCATGAGGAGATATATAGACCCTAACCCTAATAATAGTGAACTTGGTCAATTTTGTATTTCTTGTGGTATAAATAGGTGAACCTGTATACACTTTCATATTTTCATACCATTGAATAGTAATTTCCTCTCATACAGTGTTTCCAAATTGTGGCCATGACCAACATATTGCCTTGAAATGGTGGTGGAAAAAAGGGTTCTGAATGGTGGGCCACGGCTGCTGCTATCCCTTGTTGCCCCCATGGTTCTGAACTGAGCCAGGCGAATTGTCCCAAAATATAAATTACCCTAAATCACAATGGTTGCAAGTTTGTTACCTATTCCCTTTCTGATTTCATTCTTCTCCCTCCTGACCTTAACTCAAGTAGCAAGCTATTCTTCTCTACCACAATTTATGTTGGATAACACCTGATCTTGGTTCTGCTATGGGATAAATGCGCATATACCCTTTAAATAGTCTCACTTATACAAAGAGATTGAGATGCTTACCTTATACGGATAATTTTTTTGTTTCTTGTGTATCTGATGTTTTTCCCCACAATTTTCTGATTCATTAATAAATTCTATTTCTTATGCATCAAAACTTTAGTACATGAGTACATCATTAGAAGGAGAAGAAAAAGGAATGCACTATTGCGAGGACATAATATATCATATAACGGAAAGGAGTACAAATTCAAGACTATCAAACCTATAAAGAAAATGATTGAATAAATCATGATCATCATTACCCCAGTGCCGTAAAGGCTCCCACCTATGGTGGGGTAAGGGGGGTTGGATGTACGTAATCTTACCCCAAGCACAAAGAGAAAATCGTGTCGGAAATTGCATGGACAGACTGTTGCTTCATAACAAAGAAGCGCAGATAGTGTAGTGAGTCATTTTGCTTTATTTCATCATATTCCCAAGCCAAAAAATAGTGAGTCTTTGGCTCCATTGCAAATGATGGATAAAAGAAATTTGATTGAATGAGAAGAACATTTACCATTTAGTGTTTTGATGTGATTGCTGTTACATCCGATGTATTTTAGTATTTTTAAGTGATTCTTAACGTATTTAATGAATTCACTTTATGAAAAGGAACATGATTAGTCTTTATTTCACTTGAAGCTTCCTGTATTACCTCTGTATTCTTACACCATTTTTTTTTATGATAGCCCTTTGTGGTGACTATGTCAACTTTGGAGTATTTGAGATATATGGGGATAGAGCACTTGCTGATGCTTTAGAAACTGCTCTGAGGATGGTTTTGTCTATTCCGTTGACTGATATACTTGTATACAGAAAGGTATGTCATGTTTGACTGCTGATATGATATTAAACATCTTTATTTGATAAAAACCTCATTCTGCTTGTAATACTATTCCTCTGTAGTTCTTCATACGTGTGCATGTGACAATTGGATAGATTAACTCATGTTGGCTGGCAAAGCATCTTTTTGGGGATTAAGGATGTTTTTAATTGGACTGAAATTTTCCGGTCTGGTCTAATCTGGTCTGGTCTGGTATGAACTTGTTTGGTCTGGTCCGGTAAATGTTGAAGTCTGGTTTGGGACTGGAAACAGTCCTAGTAAAAACATCATAAACCCTTATGCTGTAAGTAATCTCCAGAGGGTGTTTTACGATTCTTCGCATGTACTACAATTGAGTCATCAACTCCTTTTGGATGAGATTCACAAAAAGATACTCCCTCTATCCCGTAATGTAAAATACATTTGTGTTTGGCCCGGGTTTTAAGAAAATAAACGGTGAAAATGTTTTTTACTAACCTCCAAAAAGGTAAGAAAAAGAAGGATGTGTCAATCCAAAGTAAATAGATGAAATGATAGATAAAGGGATAAAGTTGGAAATAAAAGTTAGTAGAGTTTAGATGTTTATTTTAAGAAAGTGTTCATTTTTTTTGGACAACCCAAAAAAGGAAAATGTATCTTACAAAATGGGACTGATGGAGTACAATTCAAAGTTTTTTGGGATATTATCAGTTATCACTTAGATCTACGAGTCTTCGTTGTGAGGTAGCTAGTCTTTCATAAAGGATCCTATCTTATCTAGTTTATTTCATTACAATTGCTATTATAATAGTGATTTTTTCAAGTTCTTCACCTCCCTTGGAGCTTCCTTTGAAATGAAAAAAACATTTGCAGCTGGCAGCAGCCTACTTCACATTTCTGGAGGCTCTTATGAAAACACAGATTTCGTTCATTTTGAATTTGGATACAAACAACTTCATTTTTATTGCTGGATCTCTGGAGTCCGGTCTTAAAGTACTGGATGGAAATATCAAGACACAGGTATGTGCCTGCTCACCTATTAGTTTGTGTTTATCTCTTTCTCAATATCATAGAGAATAATCTCATTTCCTTATTTATGCATTTCAGTGTGCATCTGCTGTGGACTATTTGGCGACTTTCTATTTTGAATGCATAACATCTGGAGAGTCACCTTCATCTCCAGTCACTCTCAAACTCGCTCAGCATTTCTCAGATTGCCCTAATATTTTTCTTGAAGTAGGTTTACTTATCTTTTCTCATGTACCATCTATATGCAGTGTTTTAGGCATTGAGTTTGTGTGAAATGCTCATCAAGATTTTCCTCCGATGTCATTTTTTTGCTTTTGTTGAAAAATATGCTTGGTACTAATGTTGTGGTGAGACAATTCATTATTCATTTTTGTTTCACACTTAAGTTCTTTAGTCTTTACAATAACTTTTTGAGCAAGTAGACAAGCAGGGAAAGTCTCCTGTATGTAGTCCTTCAAGTGGACTTTATAAGCCAACATTTTGGCTCCTGGATACTAAACTGGTACTAAATACCCAATAAATTGCTAGTAGCATGTGCTATAGATGCTTCTGTTGATTCCTACTCAGCACATAAAGTGTAGTTCAAACTTCTTTTGGTTACTTTATAAGCCATCATTTTGATTACTTTAAACTTGTAATAAATACTGTAGAAAATGTTACATTTAATTGTTATTATTAGATAGTGTACGTGTGTAGCTGTAGATAAGATTTCAAAGTAGATTAGACTGCAGTTATTAGTAGATAAGTATTGCTGTTGTATAGATCCTATTTTTTAGGATCTGCATAGGGAGTTTGTTTACTGTACTCTGTATATATATTCAGGCCGTATGGCTCAATATATTCAAGGAAGATTAATTCCTAAAACCTACATGGTATCAGAGCCTCGGTTTACACATCACGATGGTAGAAACCACAGATTCTGATTCATCCCACATTACCAACCCTAACTCCCAAATTAGCCCGATGACAAATTACCAATCTCCTATTCATTCATCTATGCTAATTACCAGCCATAGATTGAATGGGAAAAACTATTTGGAGTGGTCTCAATCTGTCAAGCTCGCAATTGATGGGAGGGGAAAACTGGGATACCTCACAGGAGAAATCAAACCAAAAATTCCTGGAGAGGAAGGCTACACCACATGGAAGTCAGAAAACTCCCTTATCACAGCCTGGCTCCTTAGCTCCATGGAGGCCTCAATTGCAAAGCCTCATATGTTTATGAAGACAGCAAAGGAGGTCTGGGACTCCATAAAAGAGACTTACTCAGATCTTGAAAATTCTTCTCAAATTTTTGAGTTAAAAACCATTCTCTGGCAGTCCAAACAAGGAAATAGAGATGTCATCTCTTACTACAATGAGATGGTATCTCTATGGCAAGAGTTGGATCAATGCTATGATGATGAAGAATGGGAAAGTGCCAAAGATCTTGCAAGACACAAAAAAAGAGAGGAAAATGATAGGGTCTACATGTTCCTAGCAGGAATTAATAGGGATCTGGATGAAGTGAAGGGAAGAATCCTTGGAAAGAAACCTCTACCCTCAATCAGAGAAGTATTTTCTGAGATAAGGATGGAGGACAATAGGAAGAAGGTTATGTACAGTACTCCAGTACATAACAATGATGAGCCAGGGGAGTCCTCAGCAATGATTGCCAAAGGAAATGAGAAGAAGAAGCCCTGGTGTGATCATTGCAAGAAACTGTGACACACCAGGGAGACATGTTGGAAGATTCATGGAAAACCACCAGGGTCAGGACAGAAAAAATTTGACAAAGCCCTACACACTACCATGCCTGAAACTGGACAGGAACAACCAGACACTTCCAAGCAGCCCTTCTTCACAAGGGAACAGATAGAGCAACTCCTACAGCTTCTCAATACCAAAAAGAGCCCTAACCAGGAAAACCCTTCATGTTCTTTTGCCCAAAATGGTAAAATAACATCATATTTCTGTTCTAAAAAACCAAAAAATACCTGGGTCATTGACTCAGGTGCAACAGACCATATGACCTCTATTTCAAAATTCTACTCCTCATATAACCCTTGTGTAGGGGATAAAAAAGTTAAAGTTGCAGATGGCTCTTTTTCAGCCATTGTAGGGATGGGAAATGTCAGGATTTCCTCATCTATTAACCTCTCTAAAGTCCTACATGTGCCAAACCTTTCCTGTAATCTTGCCTCTGTTAGCAAATTAACCAAAGAACTTCAGTGTTGTGTCAAATTTTATCCCTCTTATTGCATTTTTCAGGATCTGGCATCGGGGAAGATGATTGGCAGTGCTAGAGAGGAAGATGGACTTTATATCTTTGATGAAGGAACTAAATTGAATAAACAAGGTCAAGAAAATGTTTGTTTGCAAACTGTTTCTCTTTCTTGTAATAATGAAGTGTATTTAATGCACTACAGACTAGGTCACCCTAGTTTCTACTATTTAAAAAAGTTGTTTCCTCAGTTGTTTCATAATAAAAATCCTTCATCATTTCATTGTGATATGTGTGCACTTGCAAAACATCATAAGAGTTCTTATATCCCTCACAGTTACAAACCTACTAGTCCTTTTACTCTTGTGCATAGTGATATTTGGGGTGCATCTAGAGTTTCTACCTTGAAAGGACAAAGATGGTTTGTAACTATTATAGATGATCATACACGAGTAACATGGGTTTTTCTGATTAAAGAGAAATCTGAAGTTGAAAGTGTGTTCAGAAAATTTTACTCAATGGTTCAAACTCAATTCAATACCAATATCAAAATGGTAAGAAGTGATAATGGCCGAGAGTATTTTTCCCAGAATTTGAACAATTTTTTTTACTGAAAAAGGTATTATTCATCAAAGTTCTTGCATAAACACACCTGCTCAGAATGGAATAGCTGAGAGGAAAAATAGGCATTTACTTGAAGTCACTCGTGCAATCATGTTTTCAACAAAAGTTCCAAAATATTTATGGGGAGATGCTGTTTTACATGCCACTTATTTAATTAATAGGATGCCATCAAAAACTCTAGGATTTAAAACTCCTATTGATACACTTCAGAACTGTTTTCCTAGAACCAGAATTATCAGTTCTCTTCCTTTAAAAATTTTTGGTTGCACAGTGTTTATTCACAACCCTGACAAAACTGCAAGTAAACTTGATCCTAGGGGTAAAAAATGTGTTTTTTTAGGACTGTCTCCAACACAGAAAGGATATAAATGTTTTGATCCTACAACAAAAAAGATGTTTGTAACTATGAACACTAGTTTTGTTGAGAATCAGCCCTTTTTTAGTACTCATCTTCAGGGGGAGAATTCAAGTGAAGATGGTAACAGTGTATTGCATATCCATGAAAATCTTGAATTTCTTGACATTAATCTAGATGCACATCATACTAAAGACTTAGATGCATCAGAAAATGGTCAAGAAATAGAAGAAAATGAAATAAATATAACTGAAACAAGGAAAGAAAATGAACTGCAGACAAGTAAATTTTTTGGCAAGGTTTATGAAAGGAGAGTTCCAAATCAAAGAATAGAGGACATCTCTGATCCTGCAACTGCTCATGAATCTGACTCATTGACAGAAAATGGAAAAGGTAATAATTTCAGTAATCTTGATTTACCAATTGCTCTCAGAAAGGAGAAAAGGTCATGTGTCAAATATCCTATTTCAAACCATGTTTCCTATTCTAGATTATCCTCTACATTTGCAACCTTTTCTTCTATTGTCTCTTCTATTTCTATCCCATCAACCATACAGGAAGCTCTATCTAAACCCGAGTGGAAGAAAGCTGTTTTGGAAGAGATGGATGCTCTTGAAAAGAATCAGACATGGAAGATTGTAGAGCTACCTAAAAACAAGCCCACAGTTGGATGCAGATGGATTTTCACTCCTAAGTTCAAGGCAGATGGCACTCTTGAGAGGTATAAGGCAAGATTAGTTGCCAAAGGTTATACACAAACCTATGGCATAGACTATACTGAGACCTTTGCACCAGTTGCAAAGTTGAATACTATCAGAATTCTTCTATCTCTTGCTGCTAATTTAGACTGGCCTCTTCAACAGTTGGATGTGAAGAATGCTTTTTTAAATGGGAAACTTGAAGAAGAAGTTTACATGAATCCTCCTCCTGGATTTGAAAGCAGGTTTGGTTCAAGAATATGTAAGCTAGAGAAATCATTGTATGGACTCAAACAGTCCCCAAGGGCTTGGTTTGATAGGTTCACACAGTTTGTTAAAAAACAAGGATATAAACAAGCTCAAGCCGATCATACTTTATTTATAAAATGCTCAAGTAAGGGGGAGATTGCTATATTAATTGTCTATGTAGATGATATTATCATTACAGGAGATTTTTATAGAGAAACACAAAGCCTGAAGGAGAAACTTGCTTCTGAATTTGAGGTCAAAGATCTTGGAGAGTTGAAATACTTTCTTGGCATGGAGATTGCCAGATCAAAAGAGGGAATTGTTGTATCCCAAAGGAAGTATGTTCTGGATCTTCTTCAAGAAACAGGGATGAGTGCATGCAAACCAGCTGACACTCCTATTGACCCTAATCAGAAGTTGGGAAATTTCAAAGAGGGAGTTCCAGTCAATACTCAACAATATCAAAGATTGGTGGGAAGATTGATATACTTGGCCCATACCAGGCCAGACATTGCATTTGCAGTTAGTTTGGTTAGCCAGTTTATGCACAATCCAGTCCAAGAACATCTTGATGCAACCTACAGGATTCTGAGGTATCTGAAAAGTTGTCCAGGGAAAGGATTATTTTTTAAAAAGGGCAACAGTAGAACTGTTGAGGCCTTTACAGATGCAGACTATGCTGGCTCAATTAATGATAGAAGATCTACTTCTGGATATTGCACCTATGTGTGGGGAAATCTGGTGACTTGGAGAAGTAAGAAACAGAATGTAGTTGCTAGAAGTAGTGCAGAATCTGAATACAGGTCTATGGCTAATGGAATTTGTGAACTGCTTTGGATCAAGAGAGTGCTTTCAGAATTAAATATGCAGATGGATCTACCTATGAAGTTGTATTGTGATAACAAGGCAGCCATTAGTATTGCTCATAATCCTGTGCTACATGATCGTACTAAACATATTGAAGTGGACAGACATTTTATCAAGGAAAAGATTGAAGCTGGAATTGTGTGCATCCCATTCATACCTACTAAAGAACAAACAGCTGATATCTTCACAAAGGGATTGTTCAGACCAGTGTTTGAACTACTTATAAGCAAGTTGGGAATGTATGATATATATTCACCAACTTGAGGGGGAGTGTAGAAAATGTTACATTTAATTGTTATTATTAGATAGTGTACGTGTGTAGCTGTAGATAAGATTTCAAAGTAGATTAGACTGCAGTTATTAGTAGATAAGTATTGCTGTTGTATAGATCCTATTTTTTAGGATCTGCATAGGGAGTTTGTTTACTGTACTCTGTATATATATTCAGGCCGTATGGCTCAATATATTCAAGGAAGATTAATTCCTAAAACCTACAAATACCAATAAGTGAAACTAGAAAGAATGACCAAAATATTACCAGTAGAGTTTCAGTGGACAAAAATATCACTAATTTAATCTGGACAAAAATATGACTTATCGATCCGCCTCATCACTTTCCTCCTCCAGCAGCCCATCACTTTACCTCTCCCCTGGGAACATCCAGAATTCCAGATCTGCCTCCCTCATTTGCTGCTGCCAGGGCAATGGAAGATGATGAAAACTGGCGACAACAGTTACACTCCGGTGTCGGCAACTGGCTTACTCCACCCCTGAAACCTCTGCTGACTCAGCCGCCTAACTCTCCTTTCTTTGTTGTACGCAAAGTCACAAACCAGCTTTGCCTAAATACCGATTTGCGACGAAGATGCGGATTTGGCACTCCATCGCCTTCTTCATTGATCACTCGACGACGACTGTTGTTGCTGACGGCAATATCTTGGGGGCAGGGTGGTGGCAGTTCATTGGCGAGTCAGTGGCGGTGTCGGGTGAGCGTCGGCTAGGGTTAGGGCTAGGTAGTGGGGGTGGTGTTGGGCGACGGAGGCTATGGTTAGGTTTGGGGGTACTGGGGGCGGCGTTGGGTGACCGCCCGGCTGGGTCGCGGCAGTGACGGTGGTGCGGGGGATGGGGAGTGGTTGTCACTAGCTGGGCTATGGTGGTAACTGGCCGGATGGTGGTGGTCGTTGGGTTTCTGCTGTCTATACTGGGTGTCACTGTGCCCCGGCGTGGTTACTGGCCAGAAGGCGGTGGTTCTAGCCAGATGCGATAGTCACTGGCTGGAAGGCAGGTGATTGTGGTTGGCGTCATTGCGTCAGTGACATCCGTAAGTGACATAAAATCTGACGGTGACAATTTCTTAGTGACATGAAAAAATCACAGTAACATAAAAATGATGCAGTGACATGTTTTCCAAATATATGACCTTGTTTATCACATTTTTGTCAATATTTAAAGTGGTCACATTTTTTGAAATTGACTTCAATTTAGTACTCCCTCTGCCCCGCTAAGATTGTCCCATCTCTCTTTTTCGGTCCTTCCCACTAAGATTGTCCAGTACCAAATTTGGTAAAGTTTTTGTGGTTCTAAACCATTCTTGCATTATTCTTACTTTATCAATTCAATATCAACTACACAACTCACTTTTCTTAATAATCGCGCCACCCCCTCAAGTCCCAATGTTGGTGGGACGAGGTAGTAATATTTAAGGATAAAACTCTGTGAAACTAATACGTGTTATGAAGCTGCTATTGATTCCAACTCGGAATGGGGATTGCGGTTAGAATTTGTTTACATCAAGTTTTGGTTGAACTAGATTTGTTTTAAGCACCAGCAAATCATTCAGCCCATTTGTGAGCTATAATGTTTGACACTCATGGTGGTCCAAAGGAACGAGTCCTTGTCCTGCCTTCTTTATCTGTAGTGTTGTTAATTTCAATTAATAAAGCTTTTTCCTTTCTTAAAAAGATTTGGTTCGACCATGTAATGCCAAATTTTATTGGCGCCTATGTTAATGTATTGTACAAGTTATGCATCGTTGATGTAATATATCTGTATCAACTTCTCCCCTGCTAGATATTGAAGACCCTCTTTGAGCTTGTATTGTTTGAAGATTGTGTCAACCAGTGGAGTCTAAGCCGACCAATGCTGAGTTTAATACTTATAAGTGATGAGGTAACTGCACATATTTCTTTTTTATATCATGATAATATGTTTTCTACTTTTCAAGGCACTTGCTAGGCTAGTTTTGCTGCATTTCTTATTGCTTACCTTTTTTTAACCCAAATTCTTTTTGCTTACCCAGTACCTATACAAACAGTCTATATGTGCAATACATTTTAAGTTCAAGGTTTGTCAACCATGGTGTTCTTATGTCAAAAATGCACAACTCAATACTTTGATGCTTTTACAATCTGAGTTCTGTAAGATTTTGCTTAAGGGAAATTGGATTTGTACTCCAACTTTCCTTTGATTTTTTCTCAAAATCATTAATATTTCACCCTAAAACTAAACTAAAGCTTGGAACTCCATGTTTCTTTAAAATAGGAGTTGCACCCCATTCTTAACAGTTTCTTTTTACTTTGGGATAAGGGTCAGATAGGGTCTCGAACTCGAAAAAAAATGTCAAATAAGGTCATATTTAGGATGCTCTGTCCGGCCGACGCCATTTGGGGCGGTTCCAAATGCCATTTTTTGATGATTTTTTTTGAGCATCTTCCTCATTAAGACTAGTTTACCCATACCAAATTTCAGCAAAAAATTCAACCGGGAAGGTAGTCAAATGATTTTTTGAAGATAATTGTGAAGTTAAACAACCCCGTACATTTCGGAAAATCATTTGACTACCTTCCCGGTTGCATTTTTAGGTGAAATTTGGTATGAGTATACTAGACTTAATGAGGAAGATGCTCAAAAAATTTCATCAAAAAATTCCATCGGGAACCACCCCAAATGGCGTCGGCGGGACAGAGCATCCTAAATATGACCTTATTTGACATTTTTTTTCGAGTTCGAGGCCCTATCTGACCCTTATCCCTTTTACTTTGGGTGCAAATATTAATGTTTTTTAAAATGGACAAAATTTCTTCCCCCGATCTCTTTTCGTTCCAAACCATTGGGAAATTATGAGGGAATGATAGTGGTGGTAACAATGTTTAAAGACTGTTTTCATGTTAAAAAATGACCTTGTTAGCTTTGGTCAATATATTATATTTTCTCTCCCTTTTCTTGCCTTCCGAGCATGAGAAAGCATATGTTTCCTCTTCTGCTTAACCAAACAGTTTGTAACCGTGGGTTTTGTGTTTGGTTACTGATATTTCCATTTGAAACTATTAGTATTAAACTAATTATTTACATCAAGTAAATATTTGACAATAATTTTCCATCATTTGCAATGGAGCCAAAGATTCATTATTTTTTGGCTTGAGAATATGACGGAATAAAGCAAAATGGCTCACTAAACTGTCCGCGCTTCTTTGTTATGAAGCAGCAGTCAGTCCATGCAATTTTGGACGCGATTTTCACTATGGGTCATCCGGAAACAGTCTCTTTGTGCTTTAATACAGGGATAAGACCGCATACATCCGACCCCCCTTACCCCACCGTAGGTGGGAGCCTTTGCGGCACTGGGGTAAATGAAAATGAAATGATGAAATATTTGACAATAACATATTTCTGGCAATAGTGTTGATGGTATAAGTTATGAATACTATGTAATCGGGCATTGCAAAATATTCTCAAAAAAGCCAGTTGTCAAGGAAAATCTGCACTCAATAACTCATGAGACAATAGTTAGTAAATTCTATGATATATGATTTTGTGTACCTTGCAGATGTTCTCTAATTTGAGGGCTCAGATTACGGCTTCACAAGTAAGTTTAATTGCAGTTGTGTGGCTACTATCTTGTGTTTCTTAAGTTGCCTCAAAATCACTATCCCATGATTGTGAGTGGTTGCATTGACACTAAATTGGTTTGCATTAAAAAGAAAAAAAATAAAGACATTGCATTTTTGTTTTGAGAATATTACCTGAAATATGAATAAAAAGGTTTGAGAATTCCAAAATAGGACTGCCATGTTTTTATTCCCAAAATAGGACTAATTATTGTCATGTTTTGGCAGTACCAGACTTCAAACATGGCAGTATTTTTCAAACTTGACAGTAGTTACTCCTATTTTGGGAATAAAAAACATGTCAGTCCTATTTTGGAATTTTCAAACTGTTTTAGTCCTATTTCGGGAACTTTGCCTTTTGTTTTTGCATACTTTCTCAAATGTGAAAGTTTCTATCTTAGGTTGTTTGTTCCATTGGGGTGTTTCTAGGAGTGTAAGCAAGACAAGGTACTCAACTTCGGCTAGACAAATACTCAGATCTGGCATTAGTTTGCTTCTAGCAAGCTAAGCTTGAGCTGCTTGAGTATTGAGTTGAGTTGCTGTTGGGCTCCTAAATACTTGAGTCAATCAGTTAATGAGGCTAAAGCCCGCTAAACAAGATATTAATATGTTTAGATATGCGTTTCAATTTTTACAAAAAAAAGACATTGTCCATAAGCAAGGCCCACTTGGATGTAGTTTGTACTTTGTACTCCCTCCTTTGTTTTTAGTTTTACTTCCTCTACTAGGCTTTTTGCTGAATAAAAAAAGTAGGCAAGATAAACGAATACAAAAGCTAGAAAGAAAAGATTCAAAAGAAAAGACATTTATGCACTTTCATTACAGAAAAGAGTAAATATTTATTTTCGTGCTAAGAATCATTTTTTGGTGTTTGTTGAATGTTTTACCCCTTTGTACCTATGAAAGCTTAGTTATCTTAAAGAAGTCTTGTTGACAAAAGCTTATCAATCAAATTTAATGATTTTTTTAATAGGTGACCTAACCAATATAAATATGCTAAACTAAGCTAACCAGATAATATATTTTAAAGCATAACAACTACAATCGATGATTTCCAAAATCTTACTAAAATAAAAAATGTATCTTTGTGAAACAAGATTCTTTGCCACGGGAGTAGTAATATTCTTTGGAGAAATGGTATATGCTGTTGTTGAAAACTTGAAAACATAAAAAGTAATAGAGCCTAACGAGTTAAGCTTTAGCATGAAAGTGTTAGGTGGAGCTTGGCCTCAGCTAGTTGGCTTGTTTATGCTCCTCGTGATATGCTGGTACCATATTAAATAAATTGAACTATCGGATGTGATTAATTAATTAACACAAACGAAAAATGACGCAGTGCACCTATGAACATGGAATAATTGTACTTGCCTTGTTAAGAAAAGTTTTGCACGGTGTTTTGTTACAATTCAAAAACACCCTTCTCTTGTTCTTGACTAAAAAGTTGTCTTGTTTTCATTTTTGTTTTGTTTTTGGCAAATATACAGCAAGTGGATCAGCAGCAGCGCCTCTCCCTGTGCTTCGATAAACTAATGGCTGATATAACTCGAAGCTTGGATCCGAAGAACAGGGAGAAGTTCTCTAGCAATATAGCCAGATTCCGTAATGAATTCCGGACCAGATGAATGACTTCAATCCCATAGTCTGTTTGCCACAATTTGTACATGATGATCTTTTAATCTGTGCTTCTTTTGCTGTGTCTTTGTATGCCACAAATATCTGTATAGTTATGGATTAGGGTTTTTGTAGTAGTATGCCCTGCCCTTTCACTTTAATCAACTTATTTCATGGAATTTGCTGTGCCCATTTTTATATTATGGTAACAAAAAGTGGTGGGAGGGTAGCAGTGCACACGGTCTAGTTTCGGACCAGAGCGGTTTCCAATCGGGGTGAAACTTGAATAGACCGGTTTGATCCTTCTCGGAGGAACCCGGAACCAGATCTGAGCCTGACCAGCATAATCAATGCTAGGCCCCAATTCTTATTTTAGAATGGAATCATGGATCAATCACCCCTTTGATTTCGGTGCATATAGTGATGGTCCTAGTTTGGTTCAGAACTGGGACCGCTTGATTCATACTTTCCTAATTGCTGAAGTGAAAGAGAGATGCAATATTGGGTTGATGCTTGGTTTGATGGTGATGTACATGCCAATTTGCCACTTGGCCGGAGCTGCTTGCCCAACCCACTCATAAAAGCTCTGAAATAATTGGGAATGCAGAGTCAAAGGAGAAGATTAGGTAAACGTTCACTGACGCAGACATTAAAATAGTCTACGGTCAACACCTCCCCCCACTTCACTTTCATCATACCTATAATTCTGTACAGGTGTTTGGACGGCATTTCATGAATGGATAGTTCAAACAATGTCACAAACTAAAGCAATGTCCTCTAGTATCGAGACAGAAGAATAATAATATAATAGTCTTTCATTTTCTTTTTGTTGAAGTGTATCACACAACTTTTTGTTATGAAAAGTTCATCAATTTTATCATTTCATTTACGAGCTGTGCTTGCTGTATAGCTAATAGCTTTGACCGTATACACCTCCATGTATGGTCTTATTTTATCTGTGTATATAAACAAAATAGGAGGTATAAAAGGTGTACATCAAAATAGGGGTACAAAAGGTGTACACTAGAATAGTACACCATGTACCCGCATTTGGAATGCTATACTTTCAAAGATCGGTTCATATATATTGGAATGAATCGTGTAACATCTCAATTTTATACTTCCTCCGTTCCCTTTTAATTGTAACAGTAAACATTTCACGTTTGTCAACGCATAAGTTTGACCGTTGATATCTTTTATTCATTATTAGTCAAAAATTTAAAAAAATTCATATTTTGAAATTTTAGAATGAGAAAAATTTAAAAATATTTTTAAAAAATTTAATTTATAATACGTTAATAAATAAAATATAGTCAAAATAGAATACGTGAATAGTGTAAAAAGTCAATGTTGCAATTAAAAGAGAACGGAGAGTATTTCTATACTTTTTGGGCACAACCGCACAACAAAGTAAGATGAATTTCGTGAATTACTCTTAAAAATCTGAATTGCCCACACATTTGGGAAATATGAAATTATTTGATGGGCAGTTTATTTGATGGGCAATTGGACACGGGGCAGTAATAATAGTGGTAAAGTACTAAAGTTTAATGTGAGGTAACATCACTATAAGGTAGGTCTGAACTTGTGTAAATTACTTAAAATTATTAGGGTATGTTTGGTTCAAGATAATCCCTCATGCAAGCCGGAATCTTGTGTCAGGAATGTGAGATGTATGCGTTTGGTTTGTGGGTTTGAATAATTGTTGGGAATCTTACATTCCTTAAAAAGTGAATAATGCATCACATGCCCACTAATGTCAAACCCACCACTCCCTTAGGTTATCTTACATTCCCTTATAATTGTAAATTTTCTTCCAAAAATACCCACCCTCTAAGCTTGGATCGGAAGGTGAAGTCTCTTCAACCACCACCTCTTCCCAATAGGCCAATTTTTAAAAAGTCCTTTTCATTCCTCTATGCTTTCCCTCTGCTAGTCTGTCACTGTGAAGGAATACTAGATAGGGATTACTCGTAACTCCATACATATTAAATCCAACTAAAGTCTGAATTTACTCATGGAAGAAGAAAAGTGAAAGAAAACATTATTTGTTTGAGAAAACAAAGTACTTCACCTAAACGTTAAGAAAAACTATCGTTTATGAGTTATGATTAACGATTACTCCCTTCGTCTAGTAAAACTTATTTTTTAAACCTTGTCTTATCGTATATGTTATAGGAGATAACTCAAAAGTGATATGCAAATGTTCTTGGTTAAAATACTTTCATAAAAGTATAAAATTAATAATTTTCATAAAATTTTACTAATCGAAATCATTTTCCAAAGTTTAATACTCAAAAAGTTATTATGCATTTACTTAGTAAAATTATTCAAAATGTTCACTAATATTAAATTAGTTTTAATTTTAATTATTATTAAGATATTCCGTTTTTTCTTTAATTTTAATTATCTTAATTTAAAGGGCGTTGAAGTAATTCAACAAATATACAATATAAGATACCATTGAACCAAACATATTAATGTCACATTCGCTTAATCTTAACCAAACACAATTTGGATACAAATTAAACACATTCCCATCAATCTAACATACTCATTAATCTAACATTCTCATGGTAATCTGACATCCCTTGAACCAAACGGACCCTTAGGGGTATGTTTGGGAGTATGGGGGGAAATGAGGGGAAGACTTTAAGGGAAATGAAGCAGAATGTTAGTAAAATACTAAAATCTTCTTATTTGGGAGTAGTAAATTTGAAAAAGAGTCATAACAGGAATTATCATTGCCAAGTACGTTATGGTCTGATGACATCAGTGTGACATCCCTAAGGAGGAGGTCACACGTTCGGATCTCATCCCAATCCAAGGATGTTGGCCTTAATATTGAGCAAATACTATAATAGGTTAAATAGAATTGTACAAATAAAATATGAATTATCATTAAAATTACAGTTCTGAGATTCATTTTAAATTAAACTTAAATTATAATTTAGTTAGTTATACTTTTGACAAAAAACATAGTTAGTTATTCTTTAAATCCCTCCATTATGGATGAACTTAAAAATTGAGCATTTGAGAGGTTTTGAAGGATCACAAAAACCTTCCAAACCCACTCATCCACATTTCTTAAAGTCTCAAATACAAATAGGAGGGTCATCAACCCCTACACGTCTTCCCTCCCTCCAAAAAATCGCCTCCCAACTCCCAAGCATACCCTAAGGGTATGTTTGAGAGTTTGGAAGGGGAGGAGAAGACTTTGGAGGTTGTTGGAGGGGAAATGGAGAAGAAGGTGAGGAAACCCTTCTTTGTATTTGAGAGTAATAAATTTGGAAGAAAATAACTTTTGAAGGAATTATAATTTAAATCACTTTGAGATATGAGGAATTCAAATAATTGAGCTAATATTCATTTTTAATTAAGCTTAAATTATCATTTTGTTAACTATTCTTCAAAATCCTCCAAATTGGAGGAACTTAGAAATTGAGTATTTAGAGGGTTTTGGAGGGTCATGAAAGTTCCCCAAAATCATTCCCTCCAATTTTTTAAACTTCCAAACATGAAAAGAAGGGTTATAATTAAACTCCCACCAACCTTCCCCTCCCCTCCAAAACCCAACTCTCAAGTCCCAAGCACACCCTAACATAATCAGAATGCTTCAATGCGTTTGAGACTTTTTTTGATAATGACACACATTACTCCCCACTAAAAAACACTAATTTGAGGTGATTAGTATTCACAATTAGAACTCCAGAAGACTATTTAATTGCTTACATTCAAAGTGTAGCTTGTAAGACATGTCAAACTCTATTTATCGGTGGAGCAGGTAGAATTAGTGATTGGAAGGTCACCAGTTCAATGCCTCTGTCAGCACTTTCAATCAAGCTTGTAACACATGACTTGTCTAAATGGTGTGATTTTCATTTTACTGCTGCGCTCAGACTAAAGGGTTACCGAGAGAAATGCTTAGTATACATGAGTTGTACACAAAATGTCCACAAGACTCCCTAGTTACCTATGTACACAAGCAGTTCGTTTAAAGAGGTAGAATTTGATGTCAAATTGCCTGTGTACACAGGCAATGTACAAATTTTGTGTACATCTTGTGTACACCAAGAATGTCCGGGTTACCCTAGTGTGCACTCAAAGAGTAGTATTATGGTAGTACCCCATAGGCCATAAAAACCTAGGTACTTGATTTGCTATCTAAGTTAGAGTGGCTTACCTCTTGTGATATTGAGTAGGTTAGATATGTCGGTGGGCGTAGCTCAATTGATAGATAGGGGTGCCACAAGGGGTAAGTCTCAGGTTTAAATCTCGTCAACTGTGATGAGAGGTCAGCTAAAAAGCATAGGACCTTTGCAAGTACTGGGACCAGAGCTCCACTCTCTATTTATCAGCTTGTGATTAAAGTTCAATTTACATCCTTCCAGCGAACTGTCCGGCCGGTGCTAGGCCCGCAGGGATGGGGTATCATCCTTTTTTTAGTAGGTTAGATTTACATTTGTGGGGTACATTTGTCATATACTCCCTCCGGTTCTTATTGATCTTTACACTTTGACTTCACATATATAAAGGAAACAAATTTGACTTTACTGTAGAGTACACTGTTTGACACTGTTTTGCATTGTTTGGTGTAGATTTGTTTGCCAAATAAGACAAATAAGGAAGTGTAAAGTTTAATATGGTACTGACAAAAAAGGAAAGCGGAAAGATGAATAAGATCCAAAGGGAGTACATTCTAATAAATGTATACAAGATCTCACATGGGAATGTAATGAAAAACAGTCCCTAATTCCACTATGTTAGACACACAGAACACAAATCTACCTATTTAGTATTTACACTTTAATTTTTCAAAGACGAAAACTTTAATTTATTTACAAAAAAAATGTCACCGTTTTTTATCCACTTCAATGCATTTTTGACATGCTTAGAGCCACTAGCTTAGATCCAATGTACTTGATTCATTCTTACTTTTCATGGGAAGAAGACTTTTTATTTGATCCAAAACCTTTATTATATACTACCTCCGCCCCCCTAAGTTTGGGATAAGAGAAGGTGACACGGTTATTAATAAAATTGGGTTTATGTGGTTGGTATTGAATTGATAAAGTAAGAATAAAGTAGGAATGATTTAGAACCACACAAACTTTACCAAATAAGGTATGAGACAATCTTAGTGGGACGGATCGAAAAGGTAAAACGGGACAATCATAGCGGGACGGAGGGAGTATTAAAGTTGTTTCTTAATTGAAAGGAAATTTTTTAGTCTGATCTGTTTAAGTCTCGTCTGATCTGAACTGACATGGTCTGGCTTGGTAAATGTTCGATTTCTGTGTGTTTTAAACTCCATAACTATCAAAGTCTGATTTGGTCTAGTCTATTTAAGTCTGTTCTGATATGGTTTGAGACTGAAAATAATCCAAATAGAAACATCCTAACACCTCGGAGATTTATTTTCAATCTTTATGTTCTATTGTTATTCTTAAAACATTTTTAAATATATAAGGGAAAATAGCAATTCTAATCCCTGAAATGGTCACCATTTTGAAATGTGAGACTCGTATTTCGGAGATTGTAAATGTCGCCCCACAATTGTCCAAATTACTGTAAATATGGTCCTTTGAGAGGTGAAATGTACTTCTCACTCACATTGTACATTTCATCCCTCAAAGGACCACATTTACAACAGTTTGGACAATTGAGGGGTGACATTTACAAACTCGGGAACACAGATCTAACATTTCAATATTGTGACTATTTGTCTTAAAGGTCAACCTGATAGGAGGAGTAACGCAAAACCTTATATAATGTTTAATTGTTTTATAGTTTTTCGGTGTGGGACAAATGCTTTAACACACCCCCTCAGCCCGAACTAGGCTGGACAATAACGGGGTGTATAAACGGGCCAAACAAACCCTTAATAAGCT